ACGCACAGTAGCTTGTCAACTGTGACACGATGCAAAAAGTAAAAAGAGGTGACATTTTGCCTATCATCTTCTCGCTCCAGCCGCAAACTTTTCCCTTAGCCACTTTCTATCTCCTCGGGCCATATTTCACGCTTTGCCACTCGACTTTCTGCGTGCCTCTTTCTACCAAAGCCCTGCCTTGCTAGCGGGCAGCCGTCAGCCTACACATCACTTGGATATCAGTTCGGGTTTCTGGTTTCGGTGGGATCATTTCAGCCTTGGATAACAAACAGCCTTCACTTGGATAACACTTCGGGTTTCGGGTTGTCCTGTCGGATTTCGGGTTTCCCTTGCTCCGTTCTCATCCGCCGTACTTTGTTTCTGTGGGGGACTTCTCCGTGAGATTTTTGTGGCCGTCGAGATCCATTCGTGGCCTGCCACAGAACATTCGGGGTCCGCACAATACACATTGGACACGGTCAAAGGAAGAACCCTGCATTGAAACATATTATTATAATCATATATTCGTATTGTTTACCTTACAATAGATAATATTCGATATAGTGTATAATGATAACCATTGATTTAAATCACAGTAATACATCATTACATATCGATATTACACGGTTTTAGTGTTTTTACCCGTGAGATGCTCAACAGTGATGGGTGTTGAGATGTGAGTCAGCGGAGAGTGTGAGTTGGAGGTAACGATCCAGACAACCGACGTTAGCTATGAAGTTGCACGCATGTCCTTCGCATTAGGGCCCGCGCAATCTCGTGCACGGTTCTTCCTTTGATCGTGTCCAATGAATTGAACATTGATCGAAGTCAGGTCGTGCCTAGTTGCTAAAAAGGGTAGGGGTGTTGGGACGCAAGTTGGACGACCTCAGCGGAGAGCGTGATCCATCCCAGATCCAGATCCCGTTTTGCCGCTTTCGTCACGAAAGTTTCGTGGCGCGAGATTTAATTTCGTGGCGCGTGACAAAATACCATCTCGCCGATTCTACTGCGTGTAACGAATTTCTTAAGCATTCTATTGGGTATATATATTAGCTGACCTCAGATAAGATACATTCTAGGTCATCTCAGCGTGTGGTGGACCCTAAGGAACACTCTTTGGAAATAGTGACACCGTTTCGTTGTTTTGGTGACGCCATTCTGGCTAGCTCGTCAACCCTTACATGTCTCCATATGACCATGTGCATGGCCTCTCGATAAATAATAAGGGCGGATTCATAAGTTGATTATTTCGAGGAATAACATTTGCTAGATGCCTGACCGAGGATCGAACCGAGTATCTCTCGATGTGCAATCCAATCCCAGTTCCAAATGGCCAATCAGTCTTGTTGAGAATTGTCATGCATCACATGAACCGGTTATGAGATTTATATTTCCTCATTCATGTTTATTATGACATGATATCGTTGATTATGTAATTGCTTGCGTTTCATTTTGGAAATGCTGCCGTAATGTTCCTTGTGTGTTGATGAGGAACTTTCTTCAAGAACTTCTACCTCAAGTCGTGTGTGGATTCCCACAGTATAGCTTTGGAAATTCATGAATTGAGGGCATTGACTTCTACACTATTGTGGTTACCTGGGATACTACGCAACAGTGGCGTGAATTTTACGATACTTTACTTAGCTTGAGGACTTTTCCTTAGTCATGTCCGAGCCCACATCCCCGTCAGTTTGCTCATCGGCGGCATCAGAAGCTTCTACAGTTCCCTCAGCTGTTGAATCACCACAGGTTGTTGGTACAACTAAGGAACTTCAGAATGGTGCGGTATGTAAGGAGATGAGTAGCGGAATATCTCTGAGGTAGTAGTAGTAGTAGTAGTAGTAGTAGTAGGAGTAGTAGTAGTAGTAGTAGTAGCGCTGCTACGTAGTTCCCAAAGCTAATCATAGGAGTTCGGGTCGAAGTGTACAGAAACCAACAAGAAATCCCCAAAATTTTCGCGCTATTTTCATACTGTCATCAACACATGTATTCGACGACATGCATCTCTTCACACACGTCAAATGGCACTCAGCGGGAGGGAAATTTCCTGTTGGCGTGAAAAATTCACATTAACAATTCTCAATAATATGGTCGTATTTCAACAGAGTCACCGGTTGGATCACCGTTCGAATTTCTATTTTACGCCTACTTGGTGCTAATTTCGTGCAGGCCCAACAGCTGTGTGTATGTTGGCGCAGGCTAGTCGTGATTCTCGTGGTTGATTCTCAATCTGTAACTTCTTGGTTACGTTGGGAGAGGAGTTGAGATCCAACATTTCTTAGCGTGATCAAGCTTGTTAGAAAGTGCTGGATGTGTAGTCTCTTCCGAGCTCATCCTGCGTGATTCATCATTTTGGTTCGACGATGAATAATGGAGTTTCACCCGTTTCACGTGAAGTGGCGTGAAACTGCGTGAAAAACGCGATATTTCCGCCTTGCAATAGTCGTAAAATGTGTTTTTCATATCACGGGTGAAACTCCCAATGATAAGTT